ATTGGGCCTACAGAATCATCACTTACCCAAGAAGGTGCTAAATTTACATTATGTGAAAGTCTTTCTGTAGCTTTACTAAGCCCTACTGTAGATATTTTCTCTTCAAGTCTATCTACAATTACTGCATTAACACGTTTTTTCTCATTGCCCAACCTGACAGTTTTCATAAACAGTGTCATACAATTGAGCCCTTTTAATTCCGAGAGAAAAACCAATAATTTAAAGTTGTGGATCTCCCATCATAAACCCTCAAGACATTTACGTTTTAATGAAAGTATGCTGGGACCCTGGGCTAATAAAAGCATTTACATTTTTTTTATTTTTGCCTTTTATCATCAATTTTACCTGTAACACAGGTTTAAAGGCTACTTCAGCAAAACCATCATTATTAACATTAGCACAATTTTACATTACCACTGTTGTGTCAGGATTGTCAACATTATCATTATTATCAACATTGTCATATAGACCCTTACACATGACTAAAATGGTGTCTTCCTTTGTGACATTGAAACAGAAGTTTAATTTGGCATAACAATCCTTTACATTTTGATTACCCAAACACCTGATACATCTGTCAAGTTCCCCAATCTTTCAACTTTATCATTCCATGAATTGCATGCATTGCAATTCTTAGAAAAATGAGTACCCTTACAGAAGAACAATCTCTCCTTTCTTTGACTGGTTCTTATTAACTGGCTACTCTTAGGGGGGTACTTATTCTTCTACCTTGCTGAGAATCATTAAATTTTTGATTCTTGCTACTTGATATGCACCTATGCAGCTATTTTTTGGAAATGAATTTTGATTATTACCATTGGATAATTTTTCCCTTTGTGAAACTTGACAATACCCCCAGAGTTATTATGTGTTCATCTTTAAAAATGAGTTTGGGGTTTGGGTGGTCTGCAACTGAACAATTAATTCATGTAGACCAATCTTATTTCCCCCATATCAAAATAACCCTTGTGATATTTATTCGAGAGCCATTCAAGTGTTTTACAGCTTAATTTATTCTGTAAACCAGGTACTCAATAACCAGTCTGATTCCTTCAGATTATATTTATTACTTAAAGTTTTGAGAGTGCTCTTCCAGTTTAACTCTAAACTGCTGTAAACCTTTTTAAGTATGATCTGGAGATTTTAAATTAACAAAAATATTCACTAGATCCAACCTAAATTTTTTTCTATAATTACCATAAGTGACCTTCAACAAGTCAACTGCTTCATTGTAAGAGTCATCTACATTGGGAAAGGCTTGTATGAGTATGTGAGCATCTCCTCTTACCTGTCCTTTGAGGTAAAATAATTTAGTTACACAGGCAGGTACACTCCTGTCATGCACACTGCTTTAAAAATTGAAACCCAAAAATTCCTCCTAATTTTTCTCCAGGATAAACACAGGCAAACACAATTCTGGAGTTTTGGCAAAGACATATTATTTGTTGGGCAGACTGAACCCAAATGCCTGGTTTACACATTTTAATTTATTCAAGGCCTGACTTTTACAAGAATCATATCTATTCCCTAAAGCATCTAAATACAATTTTAAATCATCAGTATTCACGGTTTCTTGATTCATTAATCCAAGCACTTATTATACGCCTTGGTTACATGAACTTTCCAAACCTGTATTGATGCTTTTTTTAGTCTATATTCCATATTTTGTCTTTTATATTAATTTCCTCATTTCAGCCATGATGCAATGTATTAAAATTTAACTTAATAACACTGATTATGTACTAAATTATGCACTTTATAAAGGGAAATAGTACAACTTACCTTTAAATAAATTCTAGCTACTTTAGCTTAGCAATTACATGTAAAAATTGTAATATAAATTTTAAATACACATTAATAATGTTAGCTACACTTTAGCTTACAATTACACATGTAAGAAATTTATATATAAATTTTTAAAAGTACATTTAAAACAAACCTAACCAGCCTTGGCTTATCAAAATTATTATACAAATTAATATAAATCCTTGCCAGAATTTGGGATAGCAAAATTAATATTATTCACATTAATATAATTAGGGAACACTTGCCTTATCAATTACACATACATTGATATAAATCTTGGCCCAAATTTTCTTATCAAATTAATATTGTAATAATTATAATCCACTACACATTAAGTAAAATTAATACTATACACATTAATATAATTAGCAACACCTGGCTTAATCAATTACACATACACTGAAAATAAATCTTGGCCAGAATTGTCTTATCCCAAAATTTAAAATTATACAAATTAATATAAACTTAGCCAGACTTGACTTACAAAATTAATATTGTAATAATTATAATCCACTACACATTAAGTAAATTTGTGAACTTAACATCCACCTCCTTCTGTCATTTCACATTAATTATTAAGTAATAACCAATTAATGACTTCACTAATTACCCCGGGTTCAAGAAGGACCAACGGGCAAATTAAATTTGGGAAAAATTTGCATTTATCGAATGATAACTAATTATGTACATAACATAAATGATAACAAAGATTATTATTTATCAATGTTTTCATAGACAAGTAGGAATTTGGGACACCTAGGTGGCAAAAATGTCCCCCTTCGATACCTACCACTGTCATAAACCACAAGTTGCTCGGACCTATTAATTAAATGAAATATACACCAGAATACTGGAAATATATAAATTTTTGGACTGTAATAAAAATAATAAATGGTATATATATAACCAATTACATAACAGAAGGAAAATATATCTTAATATCACTCACCAATTGACTGGAGATTAATGTGTATCATACTCAGAAAAACCTCACTAACTAAATTTATGAAAACACTGGCCAGAATTATACACAAATCTAGAGAGCTTATCTGAGGTTCCTGGAGCTGTCTTGTCCAGTCGTCTGATATCTCAAGTTACCCAGGAATGCATATCCACCAATTTCGCCTCCTATTTGAGAGGTGTCAGCACAATTTTAACCTCTAGAGCACGAAAAATTCTTCCCCATTCACCAACGTTTCTAATACAAATTCAAAAACCAAGATGGGGAGTCTCCTTCTACACAGACGCAGGCTTTCCGTTTTCTATGACATAAATATTATTAAATACAGTATGGCCATCTATTTACATATAAATACTGAATTTCTGGAAAATATATACAGTATTTTCCACATGTGGTGTCCCGTGGCCTAGTAACGCTCTGGCCTCACACACAGAGTAAGGCATGTTTCCTTACACCTTTTATTCCCGTTCACTTAATAAGCAAGTAGGTACCTGAATGTTATTCGACTGGCGTGGGTGGCATCCTGGGGGGACAAGATTGAGGACCACAGTGGAAATAAGACAGACAGTCCCTCAGTGATGCATTGCCTTTCTTGGGTTATCCTGGGTGGATAACCCTACGGGGTCAAAAATCCCAACAAAATTTTATCTTATGTATGTCTTAATGTGTCATTTTTTATACAAAAAAAAATTAAGGTGTTAGTTTCCATGTGATAACTTGTAAAAGCTCCTGATTAGTTACATATCTGAAACGCCAATAATTAGCTTCACTGGGACATCTTAGCCTGGAAAACTTATTTGTTTAAAAAAAAAAAAACTTGTATCTCTGTTCTGAAGAATAAACTAGCATAATACCGTGACTGGAACAATACACAAATAACCCGCACATATAAAGAAACTTATGTGCTTGTTTTTTGTTTCTGTATTATTCCTGCAGCGAGTTGGGCACTGGAATGTCCCGTGGCCTGGTACGCAACACTCTCTCTTCACACACTGAGTGGTCGTGGCTCGATCCCCTGCAGGGGTGGAAACATTGAGCGTGTTTCCTTACACCTGTTGCCCCGTTTACCTAGCAAGCATGTAGTAGGTACCTGGGTGTTAGTCGACTGGTGTGAGTCGCATCCTGGGGGACAGATTTAAGGACCACAATGGAAATAAGACAGACAGTCCTCGATGAAGCACTTACTTTCTTGGGTTATTCTGGGTAACTAACCCTCCGCGGTTAACAATCCGAGCAAATTCTTATCTTATGCAACACGGGGATACCTTTCTCAGATCTCGCAGCGGCCGAAAAAACATCTAGTTAATTATGCTCATTAGTTACAGCACATCCGGAGAACACAGTATAACTTCAGCACACTCCCGAATTGATAACTTTCTAACGACTGAGCGTCTATACCTTTACCAACTTCACTCTTTCCCTGTACCTGCAGTATTAATATCTTCACTCTCTCCCTGTACCTGCAGTATTAATATCTTCACTCTCTCCCTGTACCTGCAGTATTAATATCTTCACTCTCTCCCTGTACCTGCAGTATTAATATCTTCACTCTCTCCCTGTACCTGCAGTATTAATACCTTCACTCTCTCCCTGTACCTGCAGTATTAATACCTTCACTCTCTCCCTGTACCTGCAGTATTAATATCTTCACTCTCTCCCTGTACCTGCAGTATTAATATCTTCACTCTCTCCCTGTACCTGCAGTATTAATATCTTCACTCTCTCCCTGTACCTGCAGTATTAATATCTTCACTCTCCCCCTGTACCTGCAGTATTAATACCTTCACTCTCCCCCTGTACCTGCAGTGAAAAAAGAGAAAACTCATAGACAGCGTTGGTTTCTTAACACATTTAAAGAAAAAACTTGGGTGTTTTGGCCATCGTGTTAGTGATAGTGTTGGGGAGCCCTGATGCTGGTGGAGGGCTCTTGATCCATGGGATTAGAATTACCCTCAACACCGGTTCAACTCTGATAAATTCTCACTCCCGAGGCCTTGCATGACCCTTACGGGTTGAGCGCTTCAAAGTTGAAATATTAAAAATAATAATAACTTAATAATATTAATAACAGTAATAATAATAATAATAATAATAATAATAATAATAATAATAATAATAATAATAATAATAATAATAACAGTAATAGTAATCATAATAATAATAAAAATAATAATAAATAAAATTAGGTATGGTGAGGCAGGTGAGCGAGGTAACTTTCTGTCAGTCTTGCTGGGTTAGTCTGGCACACTGGACGTGCTGCACCGACAGCGACGCTACCCACTCTGAGCATGTCGTGTAGCACTTGGTGAAGCTCTGGGCTATCTTAGTGAACGCCTAATATGTGAAGTAGGGAGATCCAGGGAGGCGGGTGAGATTGGTGTTTGCGATCCCTTTGAAATCACCCACGTGCTGTTCAGACTGTTAATATTTCTCGAAAAGCGAGTGCTACGACGGATCCTGGACAATGGACTTTCTCTCTCTAAGGTGAGTAACACACCCTGGACTTGCATTTCTGGCCTAGTGAAGGAAGTGTTTACCACAAATATTTACAGTTTTTTTACATCGAATGTACTGATGTTTTGTCACTGGTTGCTCAGTCAGTGTTATGACTTCCTCCACATCCACTTGTATGACATCATGTTTGTGTTTTACCATGTGTTGTGTGGTTCTCAAGGGAATGTACCATATTTTCATGCATGTTATGGTGCCGGTGTTATTCTTGATAATTAACCGCACCATTTGGGTTAGTTAAATATATTATGCACCTCATACCCATTCTGTGGGAGGTAGTCAAAGGGTTACAGACGTACACGATGGGTCCAGGGTTGATATTATATACAACCATGTTAACTATTCATAAATTAAATTTAATTGATTATGATATCTTTTTAATGAATTTACCCTAGTCTTCGTGTCAGTATTTATGAAAAATATTTTTTTTGTTTGGAGAGGAAAACAAAACATATGATGCTATGTGCTGCCGTTGTGATGGTGAGTTTGTGTACGTCAGAGGGTTGCATCGCTATCACCAGTCGAATAATTACTGATAATGTAGTTATTGGTGTCTTGGGTCTTTTTCAGATATTGCGCAAATTCGTTCGTCACGAGTTGCTAAGGAGGCCATTTTGACTCGTGAATTGTCAACGCTGATCTAACTTTTTGTTCTGTAACTAATTAGTCAAAGTTCAAAGTATATTTATTGAATTTGTGTTAAGTAGTTCGTTTGTGCACCAGCATCAAGAATACTTCAGTCACTTAAATAAAGACAAACTACACTGCGCATCTATACTGAGAGATGCCTATTTGGGTGTACAGAGACGCGCACTCAAGCACAGCTCTGTTCCTGCAGCTAAAAACTGGTAATTAACTCGCGCGCTCATGTGTAGCTCTGTTTTCCCCCAGCTACAAATAGGTAATTAAGCAAGCTCGCATGCGCATGCACGGTAACATTCGCAAGCACCCACACCAACCTTTCATCTCCCTAATTCATAGGTATGGGTCAGATCCATGTACAGGTGAAGAATGGTCCAGCTTTCACGAAATTATGACATTGTATCCAGAATTTCAGACAACGGGCTTAGAAAGTACTGAACACCTATAAAACGATAACATCGACACACACGTCAGTGTTTTTATAATGGGGAAAATAGTTGATATGATCAGACAGGCTTTCAAATGGCACCGCTGTAGGAGTTGTCACATCCAAAACCATAAGAGAAATAACTAGAACAGAAACAAAACACTAGTGCAGGAGTCGGTATTGTTAACTGAGCAGGTAGTGTTAAACAGTACACAGGAAAATCATCTGACATTAACACCCAGGAAACAGGAAAACCAGCCCCCAGGCAGGACTAGCAGCACAAATGTCTGTTGTTTACAGAGACGAACATTCACACATTTATGGCTTGGCAGGAGCCCACATCATCAAAAAGGCCAACAGAAGTAGATGTCTAGAAGCAATGGCCATTTATACCTAGGATACCATAGAATAAAATCAAAAGTTCTTTTTGCAAAGCAAACCTTTTTTTGAAGGGGAGTGGCGTACATTTTACATGATCAGCCACTGGCCATTAGCCACTACACATCCTCAACACAGCCACCCAGTTGCTGAAACATCATTAACAACCCAGGGAGCTGAGTGACGTGTCACACTATAATAAGGTTTCTCATTTCCTTGAAATCTCAATCCGAGGACATCCCTGCCTTCCATTATTGACGTGACCTTCACCAGAGCTACGGGGATTGTCCTACGAAGAAAGGTTGAGGGAAATCGGCCTGACGACACTGGAGGACAGGAGGGTCAGGGGAGACATGATAACGACATATAAAATACTGCGCGGAATAGACGAGGTGGACAAAGACGGAATGTTCCAGAGATGGGACACAGACACAAGAGGTCACAATTGGAAGTTGATGAATCAAAGGGATGTTAGGAAGTATTTCTTCAGTCATAGAGTAGTCAAGCCGTGGAATAGCCTAGAAAGTGAAGTAGTGGAGGCGGGAACCATACATAGTTTTAAGGCGAGGTATGATAAAGCTCATGGAGCAGGGAGAGAGAGGACCTAGTAGCAATCAGTGAAGAGGCGGGGCCAGGAGCTATGACTCGACCCCTGCAACCACAAATAGGTGAGTACAAATAGGTGAGTACACACACACACACACACACACACACACACACACACACACACACGTAGAGAGAGAAAGAGTGTGAGTGTAAGGTGACTGGGTGTTAAATTACACGTGGTACACATCCATGCCAGTTAGGTTAGGTAAGGTTCGTCAGGAAACAGGACAAATGTTTCCTGACGCGGGTCTTAGTCAGATGATGACCCGCCTTTGGAGCTTTTGGTCATCTGACCGAGGCCTTCCGCTGGCTTACCGGTCCACCCCTTTAAAAATTATGGTCATTTATAACCAGTCTGTTCCATGCCAGTAAACCTGTATCATTGATAAACCTGACTAGTAAACCAAGTTGAACATGTGACTTTCTCAAGCTCGCTGATTTCACTCTTTTAGAAGCAACATTAATTAAAATTATGAGAGATGTTTGCAGATGACGTCATGCACGTCCGTGATCCTTCATCACAAACATATAAATGTGTATGAAGTTTATATTTAAGCTCAAACGAGTAATTTTCATGGTTTAAAACTATAAATGTAAAAGAAATCAGGAACAGTCTTAATGCCAGCATACCCAGTGTTGATCTTAATCCCAGCATACCCAGTGTTGATCTTAATGCCAGCTTACCCAGTGTTGACCTTAATGCCAGCATACCCAGTGTTGATCTTAATGCCAGCATACCCAGTGTTGACCTTAATGCCAGCATACCCAGTGTTGACCTTAATGCCAACATACCCAGTGTTGATCTTAATGCCAGCATACCCAGTGTTGATCTTAATGCCAGCATACCCAGTGTTGACCTTAATGCCAGTATACCCAATGTTGACCTTAATGCCAGCATACCCAGTATTGATCTTAATGCCAGCATACCCAGTGTTGATCTTAATGCCAGCATACCCAGTGTTGATCGTAATGCCAGCATACCCAGTGTTGATCTTAATGCCAGCATACCCAGTGTTGATCTTAATGCCAGCATACCCAGTGTTGGTCTTAATGCCAGCATACCCAGTGTTGACCTTAATGCCAGCATACCCAGTGTTGATCTTAATGCCAGCATACCCAGTGTTGATCTTAATGCCAGCATACCCAGTGTTGATCTTAATGCCAGCATACCCAGTGTTGACCTTAATGCCAGCATACCCAGTGTTGACCTTAATGCCAGCATACCCAGTGTTGATCTTAATGCCAGCATACCCAGTGTTGATCTTAATGCCAGCATTCCCAGTGTTGACCTTAATGCCAACATACCCAGTGTTGATCTTAATGCCAGCATACCCAGTGTTGACCTTAATGCCAGCATACCCAGTGTTGACCTTAATGCCAACATACCCAGTGTTGATCTTAATGCCAGCATACCCAGTGTTGATCTTAATGCCAGCATACCCAGTGTTGACCTTAATGCCAGTATACCCAATGTTGACCTTAATGCCAGCATACCCAGTTGATCTTAATGCCAGCATACCCAGTGTTGATCTTAATGCCAGCATACCCAGTGTTGACCTTAATGCCAGCATACCCAGTGTTGACCTTAATGCCAGCATACCCAGTGTTGATCTTAATGCCAACATACCCAGTGTTGACCATAATGCCAACATACCCAGTGTTGACCATAATGCCAACATACCCAGTGTTGATCATAATGCCAACATACCCAGTGTTGACCATAATGCCAACATACCCAGTGTTGACCATAATGCCAACATACCCAGTGTTGACCATAATGCCAACATACCCAGTGTTGACCATAATGCCAACATACCCAGTGTTGATCATAATGCCAACATACCCAGTGTTGATCATAATGCCACTAGTCATGCCCAGCGTTGATGTCTCAATGCACTAAAAAAGTTATGAGAGTATTTCATATTGAAACCTTTGATTATGGTGAAGGAGTCTTGAATTCCCTGTCTTTAACGTGAACCTCCCATACCCCAGGGACTGTCTGACACGGTTTTACCGCTTCCTCGTGAATATAATAATAATATTAATATTATTATTATTATTATTATTATTTATATAATCATTGGAAAGCCTCGGGGGGATGGAGAAATGGGTTAACCCTGCGCCCATCAGTCGTAATATTGTTATAGTCATGGGAAGCGGTAAACCCATAGGACCCACACAGCACCTGGAGATGGGAGACACTCAGACACATTAAATACAACATACAGTTGAGAGGAGCCGAGTCAGCCGAGTGTATTATACACCCTCTCCGAGTGGGGTATTCTCGGTATTTTTAATAACTGATAATAATCAGTCGTGCAAAAAAGCTGTGAACTGCCCACTTTGTATATATTGCCTGTCATGGACAGTTGCATGTTCAAAGCCTAAAAAAGTTATGAATTTTCATTGTCCTTTGTTGTGTGTGTGATGAAATTCTGAATTGTGTCTCATTGTGACAATCCCATGAGGATGTGACACGAGACTTATATATCTTGGCACCCGCTCTCCTCTAATATTATCAATTTTATTTTATGTTTAGGTGTGAGTGTGTTGAGTGTTGTGTGTGTGTATAATCATTGGAGGTTCGGGTGGGATTGGGGAGACTACTGGTACCCTCCCCCTGCTACATGGTTTATCATGGCATCTAAACCATAGTCCTGCTCCACTACGACCTGGCTAGTATTTGACACTCATGCACATAAATACTTAACATCCATTGACAGTCCTGAGTCTCAGCTCCGAGTGTATCTATACCCCTTTTCTTCCCACTGGGATTTGTATTTTTAATCTGTTGATCAGTCTGTGCAAAGCTGTACTGCCCACTTTGTTTATGTGCCTGTGTCTGGACATGTTCTGTGTACGTGCCATGTGATTTTGATTTGTTGAGGTGCTTGTGTGTCTGGTTGTGTCTGTGTGCATG